TCGGCCAGCATCATCCGGGTGGGAGAAAGGGTCCGCTGTTCCTGGCGGCGCAGTCCCCAAGGCCTGCTGCTAGAGATGCTCTTCCTCTCGGTGAGTTGTTTTGCTGTTTTTGTTGGCTGGGATGTTCTCTTAGTCACGCCCCACGAAGGAGGAAGGAACAGGCCACCTTGGTCGGTGTGGCCTTGATTGGACTGGGCAAAGGGGAATTGACAAGCTGCTCTGCCCGGCCTCCTGACTTCGGGTTATCATAACCAGCGGCTGCGCTCCGTGTTCAGTTTCATGCAGGCTCTTGGGAAAGCTGGTGCTGCTGCTGCTCTCTGATTCCGGCGGACAGACCTTGGGACCGAGGCCGGCGCTGGCAGCTGGAGATGGCGGACACAAGATCGGTATATGAAACCAGGTTTGAGGCGGCCGTGAAGGTGATCCAGAGTTTGCCGAAAAATGGTACGTGCACTGGGCTCCCGGTTAAAGCCTCTCAGCTGGTTCTAGTCTACCTTATTTAGCGCCCCATCCCATTCATTCAGTCATTAATAGGAATGTAATTGAAAGGATGTTATGGAATGTGAGTTAATTATCCCCAATCTTTGAGGCCAAAGGTGAACATACTGTCCAGACTTTAAGTAGTTTATATCGTTGAAAACAAGTCTTCTCACTTCCTAACTGTGGATTTGGGTATGTAAAAAAAAAAACCAACAACAACAACAACAAAAAACCCCACGTAACTCCAAAGTGTGTAATCCAGACCTTTAGAAACTTTTGATATGAAAGTAAGGAAAGAACAAATATATTCACTTGTAAAATGATTATTTTGACTATGATGTGTCTAGATACGGTTTTCTTCCTTTATGTATCCTGTTAACAATTTACAAAACTTTTTGTAATTTTGTCTGACCTGTGTTAAGGAATTTCTCCACCACTAAATTTTATTTTTCTTTCTGTTCTAAGTAGAGAAGCTTGGAAAGGGAGACTTTCACTTTTTAAATTCATATCCATTTGCATTATGATTTACATTTCATAATAATTAAATTAAAAATTACCTTAAACATTGTTAAGAAGTATGGCAGATTTGTAAGCCAAGTCAAACATAGCATTACTATATTACTGTAATATTTAATGTCTTCTTGTGTTTCTTCTTTGGGCAAAGTATGAATAGTCATCATAGTTCATTTCAATAAAATTCTTCAAGTAAAGTTTTGAAAGCTTGTAGGGTATGTATTACCATGTACAAAGCCCTGATTCAGTTCCTGCACCCCTCCAAAACAGTGGCACAGGCTGTAATCCCATTTTCTTTGGAGGATCAGGAGGGCTGGAGTTAGGGCTCAGGAGTGGAACACTTGCCTAGTGTGTTCAAGCTCTAGGCTTAATGTTGTTTTATTTTATACCTTTAACATTGTATTAGAGGAGGATACATGGAAAGCTAAAGGATACATACAAATCAGCTAAATGAAGGAAGGAAATAATAAGCTTCATGTGTTTCTTAATACTAAGTAGAGCATAAAATAATAAAGTAGGAAGTATCAAATGATCAGGTCTAGCTTATCAGCTTTCAAAGTTATAAAACACATGGTTTAGAAAAGTGAACAAAACTGGGTGGTGGAGGTACACACCTTTAATCCCAGCACTCCCGAGACAAAGGCAGGAGGATCTCTGTAAGTTCAACGCCACCCTGGTCTAGAGATTGAGTTCTAGGACAGCCAGGGCTACATAGAAAACCCTGTCTCCGATGTGAGTTCGAGGCCAGCCTGGTCTCCAAAGTGAGTGCCAGGGTAGGCTCCAAAGCTACACAGAGAAACCCTGTCTCGAAAAACCAAAAAAAAACTGTTGCTGCTATTGATGCATACATATTGCTATTATTGGTCTTTTTATATAAATATATATATGTATATACATATATATATAATTTTAATTTTTGGAAACTTTAGCTGTGCTGTCAACTTTGGAAAAAAGTATCCCAGTTTACTGTGTTGAGTTGGCATAGTACAGAAATTAACAGCCATATTGGTCTAGAAATGTTGAACTTAATTATTTTCCATTTGTACAGGGGTAATGCGCTGTATTAAATATGTAAGGTCTTTTCTACATGGGTTTGATTACAAAAACTAATAAAGTATTCTCTAAAAAAAGAAAGAAAAGAAACATATATATGTGTATATATATATGACATGTATATATATGTATATATAGATTGCATACAAAAATAGATAGTGGATTGCAGACCAGGCAGTTTGGGCTACATAGCAAGATCCTGTTAAAAAAACAAACCAGGGCCGGGCGTTGGTGGCACATGCCTTTAATCCCAGCACTTGGGAGGCAGAGGCAGGCGGATCTCTGTGAGTTCGAGGCCAGCCTGGTCTCCAGGGTGAGTGTCAGGGTAGGCTCCAAAGCTACACAGAGAGAAAAAAAAACCAAACCAACAAAGTATTGCAAAATTAAGATAAACTTATTAAATGGCCCTTGTGACAGATGTAGTGGACTGTAGCGCAGTGATAGATGTTGCCCAAATCCTTGGGTTCAATCCTCAACATTTTTTTTTTTTTGGTTTTTCGAGACAGGGTTTCTCTGTGTAGCTTTGGATCCCAAAAGTTCAGTTCCCAGCAACCACATGGTGGCTCACAGCCATCTGTCAAGATCTGGTGCCCTCTTCTGGCTTGCAGGCATACATGAAAGTGGAACACTGTATACATAAAAAATAAATAAATGTTTAAAAAAAAATCCACCCCCCAAAGTAAAAGACAAAAAAGGCACTATGTTAGACAACATTCAATGTTATGTCCCTAAAGCTAATTGATATTGCCTGAACCACATTTGCTACAATGAATATTTAAATATTTTTGTACTTTGTTTTTTGTTTTTTTGATACAAAAAAACTTACTATGTAGCTCAGGCTGGCCTCAAATTTGGTAGATACTCTCTTGCTCCTGCCTCCCAAGTTCTGGGATTATAGGTATTCTCTACCATGCCTGGCTTGTAATACTTTATTTATTTTATTGTTTGTTTATTTATATTTATTTATTGGCAGTATTGGGATTGAACCTGGGCTTTGATCATCCTAAGCAAGTTCTCTACCATTGTGATATATCTCCAGTCCTATTTTAAATTGTTGTGTTAGCTTTGAATTAATTTACAATGAGATCTTGTAGCTTTTGTTACTTATTGCCTAATTTTTGTTTAAAGCCTAAAGTAATGAGGGGCTGGAGAGATGGTGCAGTGGTTAAGAGTTCTTGCTGCTTTTTCAGAGGACTCCAGTTTGTTTTCTGGCATCCATACCACCTATAACAACAGTTCTGGGGGATATAGGGTCTCTTCTGGCCTCCACAGGTACTGACAATGCATATGTATATACACAGGAGCACAAATAAAAATTACAAACAAATCTAAGTTAATGAATTATATAAAATATGTGTTTGATAGAACCTTAGTTGTTAGACATAAATTGTTAGGTAATATTTCTTTTTTTAAATTTTTATTTATGTGCATAGGTGTTTGCCTCCATGTATATCTATATGAAGGTGTGTGGTACCTTGGAACTGGAATTACAGATAGTTGTAAGCTGCCATGTGGATGCTGGGAATTGAATCCAGGTCCTCTGGAAGAATAGCTAGTTCTCTTAACCACTGAGCCATCTCTCCAGCCCAAACACTAGTTTTTGGTTTTTTGTTTTTTCTTTTTGCAACAGTCCTGGCTGTCCTGAAACTTGCTTTGTAGACCAGGCTGGCCTTGAACTCACAGAGATCCTCCTGCCTCAGCCTCCTGAGTGCTGGGATTAAAGGTATGTGCCACCACTGCCCATAGATAATATTTCAAACACATATGTTATATATGCCATAGGAACGTCTTTAGGATAGAAGTATTGCTGTCTTACATATAGTATATTCAGTATATGTTCTCAGTTTCGATTTATATTTATTATAATATGTGCCATTTACTTAAGCCCAATAAACATAAACTTTGTTAACTTACTGAAGATATCAGATGAAATTGTTTAATTAAATTTTTTATTACATTTATTTTGTGTGTGTGTGTGAGTGTGTGTGTGTGACAATTTACAGGAGTTAATTTTCTCCTTCCACAGTGTCTTGGTTACAAGGGCCTTAGATGTACTGAGTTGTTTTAGAAATTTAAATTTAGATTTGTGTTATTAACTCATTTTAACTGTGGTTTTTCTATTTTTATTCTTTGCTAAAGAATAATGATTTTGTTGAAATACTGTGACTAAGAAATACTCCTAAATGTTCATATATTATATAGGTAATTATTACTGTGATTTCAGAATTAATTATACACTCTTGGCCAAACCTGAACTACTAGTTTTCAATTAGTATATGTTGTAATTTCTAGTTAAAAAAACCTATTAGCTTTTGATTACTTCATGCACTACTTGATATATAATTTATTATCTTTAAACTACCTTTATGATTATTATTTTTATAACAATTTTCATTTTTAAAAGTAATGAGCACTAGGATGGAGAGATGCCTCAGCAGTTAAGAGCCTTGTTGCTCTAGAGGACCTGAGTTCAGTTCCCATTACTCATATCAGGAGGCTCACAAATTCCTGTGACTCTAGCTTCAGGGGATCCTATGCCTCTGGCCTCCTGCAGGTCGGGCACTCACATGTGGATGTCCAAGCACACACACACACACACACACACCAAACAACACTTGAGTTTTTTTTAACAGAAAAGGGGAAAATGAAGTTGTCTGCATACCTACCTAGTATCCAGAAACATTCCCTTTTAACATTCTCATGCATATTGTGTTTTACTTCTTGGCACAATTGTTCCTTTTTAGACTAGGCTGGCCTGGAACTTACTATGTAACAACACTGGTCATCCCATGCTGGTCTTTATCTGACTGTAATCCTCTTGCCTCTACTTCCTAAGTGCTGAGATTACAGATTACAGATGGGTAATCTCACTTGGTATACTGTACTGTACACACACACACACACACACACACACACACACACACACACACACCCCTACCTTATTTAGGTTTTATTGTATATATTTTTTTCCTTCTTAATGTGTGTGACTGTTTTGCCTGCTTGTATGTGTATTTTGTAAGTGTCAGGTACCCAGGGAGGCCAGAAGAGAGTATCAGATACTTGGGAGATAGAGTTACAGATGGTTGTGAGTTGCCATGTGGATTTTGGGAATATAACCTAGGGTCTTTGCAAGAGCAGCCAGTACTCTTAACTACTGAGCCATCCATCTCTCCAGCCCCTGTTTATGGCTTCTTAAAGATGCTTTCTTCCTTCCTCCATTTAATAGCAGGCCATGAAATTTCTTATGCCATTATTTATATGTCTTTACAGTGTATATTTTAGAGCTGTAGTTATAAATTACTTTTTTTAATAGATATAATTGTTTTATAAAATATTAATATTTTAATATATGGTTTTTATTGAATATTATGCAAATTATAATTTAAATAACCAAAGTAAACATGAAGCTTTTGTTTTTGTTTTTCGAGACAGGATTTCTCTCTTTAGCTTTGAAGCCTATCCTGGAATTTGCTTTGTAGACCAGGCTGGCCTTGAACTCACAGAGATCCACCTGCTTTGTCTCCTGAGTGCTAGGATTAAAGGAATGCACTTCCTGGCATCATGAGACTTTTGATGACGAGAATAGGGGTAACATAGTAAATTCCAGGTCAGCCCAGTTTACATGGAAACTGAGAGTTATTAAAACTTTAGCAGTAGGGCCGGGCGGTGGTGGCTCACTCCTTTAGTCCTTTAATCTCAGCACTCAGGAGGCAGATGCAGGTGGATCTCTGTGAATTCGAGGCCAGCTTGGTCTACAGACTGAGTGCCAGGATAGGCTCCAAAGCTGCACAAAAACCCTGTCTCAAACAAAACAACAACAAACCTTTAAACTTTCAGAACTTTTTGAAATCAAAGAACAACAAATACCTGATGTTTTTCAGGTAGAAATAAATGATCTGAATTATAAAGAGATGTAGCCCAGTTGTGGTGGCTTCTGCCCTTATCTAAGCACTCAGGAGGCTGATTCAGAAAGATTGTTGAGTTTGAAACCAGCTTGGGCTACATAGCAGTTCCAGGCAAGTGTTAGACTCTATCTGAATAAAACCAAACCAAACAAGAAACCACTACTGGTGTGATCTGGCTCAGCTAATACACAACTTTACTTTATGAGTCGCTGTGGTCTGTATTTAATGTTTGTTTCCCATAGGATCATTCCAGCCAACCAATGAAATGATGCTCAAGTTCTATAGCTTCTACAAACAGGCAACTGAAGGACCCTGTAAGCTTTCAAGACCTGGATTCTGGGACCCCATTGGAAGATATAAATGGTAATTTTATTTACAGAACTAAGGAAGAATTTTCATTTAAGTCAATTAATTATACAGCTGTTCCTTATGTGTTTTGTGCATAAAGCCTCCTAGGTATTGCTCATAATTTAATTCTTTAAGTGTCCCTAATACACTTTACATAATTAGGAAAATCTTGGGGAAGATAGGAAAACAGCAATGCTGTGGGTAGGTACTTTACAGATAGAAAATGTTTGCATTTAGTCTTTCTTTCCTTTTGTGGAGGTTCCTCCCACCATCTGTAGACCGATCCCCATATTAAATAAACAAGTTTGCTGTTGGTAGTACAACTCAGTAATTCCAACAGTTTGAGAAAGAGGCAGGAAGATCAGGAATTCAAGGTTATCTTTGGCTACATAGTGAGCATGAGGCCAGCCTGTGCTATATGAGACTGTTTCTCAAAAACAGAACAAAACAAAACAAAAAAAGCAAAAATAAAATTCTTTATCTATTTGAACTGCCAAAGAAAATAGTGGCTTTTGCTTGTTAAGTGAGTTGTTTGCTTTGAGGCTTTAAGTTAATGTGTAACTAGGCATGACTCAGTGACTGCTACATTAACTTTGGTCTAAGATGACTCCTGACCCACTTGACTTAGTAGAATATTGGTTTCTAATGTTATAGTTAAGAGTCATGAGATATTTAGACTACCATTTTCTGAATTGACTAATACTTGTGAGCAGCTGATATGTTTACTACTGCAGATTTATAAAATCCTGACTTTATCAGTGGAGTATGGTAATTAGTGCATCATGTTTTTCAAATAATTAAGTCACTGGATTCACAGATGGAAATTATTTTTTTCCCTAGAGTTGACCTTTGGCAGAGTTAACTGCTAAAAAAAAAAAATGTATCAAGAGGGGATTTGTGTTACTTTTTGAGACACTCTCATCTTAAAACTCAATATATAGCCTTGAACTTTGGCTTTCTCTGCCTTCCCAGTATTGAGGTTACAGGCAAGATTACAGGCATGAACTTCAACACCTAGTTTATTCCATGCTAGGGATTGAATCCAGGGCCTTGTGCATGCTAGGCAAATACTTTTACCAACTACACAACATCCTCAGTCCTATTTCATCTTTATTTTTAGAATATGAATTAGTTATATATTTAAATTAGTGGAAAAAATTAAACAGAATTTCTTATGTGCAACAGTTCTTATAGTCTCCTAAACCATTTGTTACGGTTACTATTCTTCATAATGACATAAAAGCTTTTTTGAGGCTGGAGAGATGACTCAGTGATTAAAAGCACTTAGTATTCTTGCAGAGGCCTTGGGTTTGGTTCCTAGCATCCACACTTGGTGTTTTATAGCCGCCTGTGATTCCAGTTCCAATGGATCTGATTTTTTGGCCTGTCAGGGAAGTTGCATGCAAATGGCACACATACATATATTCAGGCTCACATATATATTAGATCTTTGGGGCTGGAGACATGGCTCAGTGGTTAAATATACTTACTTTTGCAGGGGACCTAGGTTTAGTTCCCAGCACCCATATGGTAACTCACAACTTCCTGGAACTCCTGTTCTAGAGAATCCAGTAGTCTCTTCTGGCTTCTTTGAGTTCCTGCACATACATAAGCTTCTGCAAACATGCACTCATGCAAATAAATTTTTTATCTACAGAGTAGGTTCCAGGTCAGGCTCCAAAACTATACAGAGAAACCCTGTCTCAAAAAACCAGAAAAAAAAAAAACATTTTTAAAAAAAAATCCTTGAAAACTAAAGAGTCCTTAGGAAATATTTATGAATCATTTATAGTCTTCTATGGTCTACACATATGTGAATGGGTTGAAAGCTTAATGTTTAAAATCTTCTTGTTTTATATGTTCAAAAATTATCATAAAAGGATACATAAGGCCATTTGCATGCAATATGCTTTGAGCACATCTCTCCCATACTCTGCTACCCTCCCTTTTTCCTTCCTCTTTCATCTCTCCCTTACCCTATCAGTCCCCTGAGGGTTCCTTCATTTCACTTAACTTTCATGTCATCAGTACAGACATGATTTTATGTTTGTCTTCCTGAGATCGATTTAATTAATTTCATATGATTTTCTCTAGTTGTTTCCATTTTCCTGCAGTTAGCTTAACTTCATTATTTAATGGGTTCAGGCTTGAACTAGCATGCCTAGCTCAAAAATCAAGTATCTTTTTGTATATTTTTTTATTTTCATTTCTATTTTATTTTCATTTCATTTCACCTTTATATTTTCATTTCTAGGGATGCTTGGAGTTCATTGGGTGATATGACTAAAGAAGAAGCCATGATTGCATATGTTGAAGAAATGAAAAAGGTACAGAAAATAATGCATAGTAGAGAATAAAAATAGTCAGAACAGCTTCAATTTACTTTGTGTGTGTGACAGTAGTCTTGGCTGAACCCATGTCATCCAACTACTCAACTATTGAGCTATATGTCCAGCACCTCTAATTGATTTTATTTTTTTTTGAGACAAGGTCTTATGTAGCTTTAACAGCTTCAGAGTTGATCTGTGACAGAGATGACCTGGTTATCTTCCCTCTACTTCCTGCGTGCTGGAATTATGGACAAGCACCATGCAACCCAGTTTTACTCGGTGTTGGGAGTAGACCCCCATGGCTTCATGCATGCAAGCCAACCAGACTAACTGACTACATGCCCAGCCCTGTCTGATAATAGTAAAAAAAACTGCTTTTGAACAAAAGGAAATCTGTAATAAGTGAATTAGTCCACCTTCTAGAGGGTTTTTAATAGTTTTTATTTGGAAAATTCAGAATGATATTTTTCTGTGTCTTTTTAGTATTGCCTATGCTACTCTTTTGCTGTGCCCTTTGTTACATTTTCACAACTTTTATTTACTGGACTTTGGAACAGAGGGCAGAGTTAAATTTTTTAGCTGTTATCTATTTCAGTAGCACAGAAACAAAGGAGTCCTTCAAAAGCAGAGCGAATTAAAAGGCATTGTGGTTTGATAATTCTTTCTTTTTAAAAAGTTACACTTAGTTACTTATATGTGTGTGTCATAGTGCATGTATGACACTTAGAGGACAGGTTATAGGACTTGGTTCTCTCCTTCCACTGTGTGGGTTTTAAGGATTAACCTCAGATTGTCTGGCTTGTCACAAGTGCCTTTACTCACTGAGCCATCTTGTTTTATTTTATTTTATTTTACTTTTTTGAGACAGGGTTTCTCTGTGTAACAGCTCTGGCTGCCCTGGCACTCACTCTGTAGACCAAGCTGGCCTCAAACTCACAGAGTTCTGCCTGCCCCCACCTCTGGAATTCTGGGATTAAAGGCATGTGCCACCACCGCCTGGCCCACTGAGCCTTCTTGCCAACCTCTTTCTTAACCTCAAATACTGTATAGACATATTCAAGATATATTTCTATAATTCAATATAAAGTTGAACTGACATTAATATTTACCCATTTTTCTTGTCTAGTTTATTAAGTAATGGTTTAGCCACAGTTTAAAGTAAGGAAAGGAGCTGGGAGTGGTGACTGATGTTTTTAATTCCAGTAATTTGGACTCTAAAGCAGGAGGATTGCTAGGAGTTGAGGCCAGCCTGGGCTACAGTGCTAAGACCTTGTCTCATCAGGGCATGGTCAAGCACACCTTTAATCCCAGCTCTTTGGAGACTGTGGCCAGATCTCTATGAGTTTAAGACCAGCCTGGTCGATACAGGGAGTTCCAGGACAGACAGGGGTACACAGTGAGATCCTGTGCCCCCCTCCAAACAAAAAACAAAGCCGGGCGATGGTGGCACACACCTTTAATGGCAATATTCAGGAGGCAGAGGCAGCCAGAACTCTCTGAGTTTGAGACCAGCCAGGTCTACAAGAGCTAGTTCCAGGACAACCTCCAAAACCACAGAGAAGCTTTGTCTGGACTCTCTCTGTCCCCCCAAAGGAACAAAAATAAAAAACCCAAACCCCAAAAGAAACAAATGGATGATTCTAAATTGTCTCATAGTCTTGAAGGTATCAAAGAATTTATCAATTCCTGCTTTATCCTTATGTTCTCCTAGAAACTTCCTTAATGTCAAACAGCCGATATAATTTAATTCTAGCTCTCTTTTCTGTTTTTTAATAAACTCCAGATTTTAATGTATAACGTAAAGATTATCACTTAAGATAATCTTTTCATGTGAAGCCCTCATAAAATAGTCTCAAGTGAAAATATTTTTAAAATAAAAAAGTTATTTTAATTCATGTGTATGTGCCTGAGTATATGTGGACCACATGCATATAGGAGTCCTCAGAGGTCATAAGTGGAGTTACAGATGGTGGTGAGTCACCATGTGGGTGCTGGGAACTTAATCTGGGTACTCTTTAAGAATATCAAGTTCTCTGGCTGGGCATTGGTGGCGCATGTCTTTAATCCCAGCACTCAGGAGGCAGAGGCAGGCCAATCTCTGTGACTTCGAGGCCAGCCTGGTCTCCAGAGAGAGTGCCAGGATAGGCTCCAAAGCTACACAGAGAAACTCTTGTCTCGAAAAACCAAAAAAAAAAAAAAACAAGTTCTCTTTAACCACCAGCTGAGCCAACTCTCCAGCTCCAAGAATACATTTAGATCTTTGGTATATATATCCCTAGTATATTTAACAAAAATTTAATTTATATACATTATAAAATTAATGTATTCCCTTTGAGGAGTCTGCTAATAAACTTCAAATCTGAAAATTGACAAACTGAAAATAGTGGATTTTGTACAACTACAGACCAAGTTAATAGTTGGTGATTTTACAGTATTTCTTTCTCTTAATTACAGATTCTTGAAACTATGCCTATGACTGAGAAAGTTGAAGAATTGCTACATGTTATAGGTCCATTTTATGAAATTGTAGAAGACAAAAAGAGTGGCAAGAGTACTGATTTGACCTCAGGTTGGACAATATTATGTTTCTTTTCAAGACACAGAGTCTTGTGTGCAAGGTCAGGCCAGATTGGCCTCTAACTCATCATCTTCCTGTCTTACTCCCCCATGTTCTGGGGTTACAGGCATGTGTAATCCTGTTCTGTACTGTTTTACTTTTTTTTTTTCCTTAACTCAGCAACTGATATATTATGCTACACTAATACCTATGTGTTCAATTTTCTCTTTTACTTTCACATGCCAGTCCGATTGGAGAAAATCTCCAAATACTTAGAAGGTAGGAATAATGAAATCCATGTAAAACCACTGTTTAAAATTGATAGGACAATGGGGCTGGAATGATGATTCAGTGGTTAAGAGCACTGGCTGCTTCTTGCTCTTCCAGAGCTGGTATGATTCCTAGCACCCATGTCAGGCAGCTCACAACTGCCTATTACTCCAGCTCTAAGCTATCATCAGATGCTTTCTTGGCTCTGTGGCCACCTGCACACACATGGAATACACTAATACATACCTTTAAACACAGAATTAAAAATAAGTAATGGTGCTGAAAAGATGGCTCAGTGGCACTGGCTGCTCTTCCAGACATGCTGGGTTCAGTTCCTAGAATCAACATGGTGGCTCACAGCCATCTTCAACTCCAGTTCTAGAGGATCTCATGCTCTCTTCTGGCCTCTGTGGGTACCAGGAATGCAAGTAGTGCCCAGGGTTACATGCAGGCACAATAATCAAATAGAAAATAAAATGAAATAATTAAAAATACTAATATAAAAATAAATAATAAAAAAGTTTAAGGAAAAAGTAATTCTGCACAGATACATAAAACATAAATTTATCTATGAATTGTTATTTAAAGCAAACACATTGTATGAGATTCTTTTTTTATTTTATTTTATTTTTTTTTTTTTTTGGTTTTTCGAGACAGGGTTTCTCTGTGGCTTTGGAGGCTGTACTGGAACTAGCTCTTGTAGACCAGGCTGGCCTCGAAGTCACAGAGATCCACCTGCCTCTGCCTCCGGAGTGCTGGGATTAAAGGCGTGCGCCACCAATGCCCGGCTCACATTGTATGAGATTCTAAAATATTATTAAACTCTTAAGTTTTCATGTATTAAAATATGCCAAGTGGTTTACTTTTATATTACAGAAATATAAAAGAATTAATAGTTTTTTGTGTTTGTTCATTTTCTTTTGTTTTTTTTTTTTTGTGGGGGGGTGGTTTTCTAGACAGGGTTTCTCTGTGGCTTTGGAGGCTGTCCTGGAACTAGCTCTTGTAGACCAAGCTGGTCTCGAACTCACAGAGATCCACATAGATCCGATGCCTCTGCCTCCCAAGTGCTGGGATTAAAGGCATGTGCCCCCCCCCCCTTTTTTTTTTTTTTTTTTTTTTTTTTTTTTTTTTTCTCCTAGACGTGGTTTCTTTGGGTACCTGGCTGTTCTGGATCTTGCTCTGTAGAACAGGCTGGCCACAAACTCAAGAGACCAGCCTACCTCTGCCTCCTGACTGCTGTGATTAAAGGTGTGCGACAGCACCCCACAGGTTGTTTGTTCTTAATTAAACTAAAAAAAATATTTATTTAGGGCACTCATGCCATAGTGCCGAGAGAAAATTGTGGGATCCAGTTATTTCTACCATGTGAGTCCTGGGGCTGATACTCGGGTCCTCAGGCTTGGTAGCAAGTGCCTTTACTCACTGGGCCATCTCATTGGCCAGTTTTGTTCTGATAAATGATTTTGCTTTATGAAATACATTAGCAATACCATGAATCAAATGCTTTTCTAGCATATTTTAAAAATATTTGTTTATTTAGAAACAGTTTCATGTTGACAGCACTAGCTTTGAACTCATTATGTAGATGAGGATGACCTTGAACCCTTGATTACTCTGTTTCCACCTTTCAGGGTTGTTGGGTTATGGGAAGTGTGCAACCATGCCTGCCTGCTTGCTTGCTTGCTTCTTTCTTTCCTTCCTTCTCTCTCTCTTTTCATTCTTGCTCTTTCTCTCTTTCTTTTACAGGGCTTTTTTATATATAGTCCTGGTTGACTCAAAACTTACTATGTAGAAGAGGCTGACCTGGAACAGTTATCGTTTCTTTCACCTCCTAAGTACTGGACTTTTTTTTTTTTTCCCCAGACCGGGTTTCTCAGTGTAGCCCTGGCTGTCCTGGAACTCCCTGTAGACCAGAATGACCTCTAACTCACACACAGGGATCGGCTTACCTCTGTCTCCTGAATGCTGGGATTAAAGGGGCATACCACCACTGCTTGGTTTGGTACTGCAATTTTTAGGTTTTGTGAGATGGGGCCTCATTGTAGGCCAGGTTGGTCTAGAACTCACTGTGTAGCCCAGGCATTTGTTGTTTTTGTTTTTAAACTTTTCTGTACATTTGAGCATGCCATATATAACAGATTATTTTATTTTATTTTTTTTGGTTTTTCGAGACAGGGTTTCTCTGTGTAGCTTTGGAGCCTATCCTAATCGCACTGGAGACCAGGCTGGCCTCGAAGTCACAGAGATCAGCCTGCCTCTGCCTCCTGAATGCTGGGATTAAAGGCATTCGCCACCAACGCCTGGCTAACAGATTATTTTAAAGAATTATTTTATTTTATCTTATTTTATTTTATTTTATTTTATGTGTATGGTTGTTTGTGCACCTGCACAAACACACCTGGTGCCCTTGGAGGTCAGAAGAGGCCATCAGATCTCTTGGAACTGGAGTTACACATGATTGTGAGCTCCTTTGTGGGTACTGGGAATTGAGCCCAGATCCTCTTGAAGAGTAGACAGTGTTCTTAAGCACTGACCCATTTCTCCAGCTCCTAGATCATTTCGTAAACAGATTTATTTGTATTTTATGTGTATTGGTGTTTGTTCTGCAGGTATGCCTGTGTAGCACTTGTGTGCCTAGTGCCTAGGGAGGCCAGAAGAGGGCATCAGATCCCTGGGAACTGCAGTATGAATGATTGTGAACAACTGTGTGTGTGGGTGTTGGGCATGGCATCTAGATCCTAAGCAGCCAGTGCTGCTATCAACTGCCATGTCAATCTCTCAGCCTCTTAGGAGTCTTTTGTTCTTTATGAGGTCAAGGAAGTTCTGTTTTATTCTTTATTTCTTTACCATTTTTATAACAAGAAATTTGTGATTTTGTTCTTTCATCTGTATGACAATCATGTAGCTCTTGCCATTTAGTATGTTAATACAGAATTTTACATAGATGTTTGGATGTTGAGTAGTGTTCATTATCACATAACTGCATTGTTGTTATGTTTTCTGCTGTCAGGTGGTTTTGTTGCAAATGTCTATTTGATGGAGGTTTGGGGGTTCTTGTTACATTTGATGAAGATGTTCATGGGTGTGAGTTTCTTTTTATGTGTGTATGTACTTGTTTTCATTTTTTTTCTTGTTCTTGTTTTAAAAATCAAAACCAAAAAAAATTCTGCTCTCATGCTTAGCATACACAAGGTTCTAGATGAAAAGCCTAGGTAATACATACTTAAGGACTGGGAGTGACCATTATTAGTAGAATACTTGTCTATCATGCATTAGACTCATAGTCTGAGCCAGGTGTTGGTGGCACACGCCTTTAATCCCAGCACTCCGGAGGCAGAGGCAGGTGGATCTCTGTGAGTTCAAGACCAGCCTGGTCTACAAGAGCCAGTTCCAGGCAAAAAACCAAAAAAAACCCTTCCTCAAAAAAAAAAAAAAAAAAAAAAAAAAAAAAAAAAAAAAAAAAAAAGAGACTCATAGTCTGATTTTTAGAACTACAAAACAAACTATGGAGATGTCATGATTTTCTAACAGAAAATAGACTTGAAGTTTTAGTCTTTTGTTTGGTTACTTAGGGGGACTTAAATTTTAAGAATTTGACCTGGCTGTTAAAGGTATATGGATATTTTGGAATTTAATGTAATTGTATTTTTTTCTTTTTAATGATTTTATTTTTCTTCGAGATAGGGTTTCTCTGTGTAACAGCCCTGGCTGTCCTGGAACTTACTTTGTAGACCAGTCTGGCCTTGAACATACAGAAATCTTCCTGCCTCTGCCTCCAGCCACCACTGCTTGCATGCATGTGTACACACCCCAGTGTGATTGTGGGGATCAAAGGGTAATTTGCAGGAATTGGCTTTTTTCCATCCTGTGGTTCCTGAGAATTGAGTTGAACTCAGGTCAGGTTTGTGTCAGGCATCTCTACCTGCTGAGACATACTTCTGGTGCCAAAGTAGATAAAGTAGATTTTTTATAAGAGAAAGCCAAAAAGTTTATGGTAGAAGATTACTTCTTTTTTTCTGTTTTTATTTATTTATTTATTTATTTTTTATTGGTTTTTCGAGACAGGGTTTCTCTGTGGCTTTGGAGGCTGTCCTGGAACTAGCTCTTGTAGACCAGGGTGTTCTTGAACTCAGAGATCTGCCTGCTTCTGCCTCCTAAGTGCTGGGATTAAAGGCATGTGGCACCAACGCCCAGCTCTGTTTTTTTTTTTTTTTTTTTTTTTTTTTTAATTGTTGTTTTATCTGATTTTTGACAGGGTTCAGTAATATAGACTGTGCTGACCTGAACTCAGGATTCCTCTTGCCTCAGCCTTCTTGAATGCTGGGATGATAGGTACCACACTTAGCCTTTTCTACTTTCTTTAGTGTTCATTAGTATGCTAAAAACACTATGCAGATGGTATTCACTGTTGTTTCTCAAAATGTGGTCCAGAACTCAACAGCAGTGGTAATACATGGGACTTTTATGGATGTGGACAAACTTAGATCCCTCTAAAACTACTAATTGTGTACCCTGATTAGATCTCAGTTGATTGATAAGCACATTGTAGTTTGTGTCTTCTCTTAGGGTAAACTTTGGCCAATACAATTTGCTTCTTTAGGCAATGAAATTGATGTTTTAAAAAAGTTTATATCACTGGCAGTGTTGGTGCATGCCTTTAATCCCTGCACTCGGGAGGCAGAGTTTGATGTCAGCCTAGTCTACAGACTGAGCTCTAGGACAGCCAGGGCTTCACAGAGAAATCCTGTCTTGAAACTCCTCCCAAAAAGTCAGTCAGTCAGTCAGTCAGTCAGTCAGTGTCTGTCTGTCTGTCTGTCTGTCTGTCTGTCTGTCTGTCTATCTCTCTATCATATCATCTACATTATAAATACATAAAAATTAGGCTGTATACCCCAGGCCCTAAAGATAATACAAAAAAAAATGTAAATAGTGCCTATTCAGCAACACAAATGCTGAAGTTGAATAATGGCGTGATTATCATGGCACAGAGCCATGTAGCATTCTATATCTAATAGGAAGAAATTAGGCGGGCATTGGTGGTGTATGCCTGTAACCGCAGCACTTTGGAAGCAGAGGCAGGAAGCTTACTGCAGGTTTGATTTTAGTCTGATCTGCATAGTGAGTTCTAAGCCAGCCAGTGCTGTAGTGTGAGGCTTTATCTCAACAATTTAAATGGAGTCCAGTTATATTTTCAGGAAGAACAGCGAGACTGATGGTAGGGCTAAAATAGCATGTTGATGTTTTTAGCAGCTAGCAAATTGTTTTTTTTGTTTGTTTGTTTGTTTGTTTTGAGACAGGGTTTCTCTCTAGCTTTGGAGCCTGTCCTGTTGTCCTGTTGTCCTAGAACTTGCTCTGTAGACTAGACTGGCCTAAAAATCACAGAGATCCACTTGTCTCTGCCTCCCAGGTGCTGGGATTAAAGGTATGCACCACCACCTCCTGGTGCAAATCATTTTTTTTTTCATTTACTAAGTATGAAGGTCATTTATGTTCCAGTTTATTTTTTTGATTGATGTTAACTTCAAAATTAGTTCTCCCTTGGCTTCAGAAAGGATAGTTAAGATAGCTTTATAATTTTTGTTGTAAACTGGCAATTGAAGTAATTTGTGTAGTTATAAATAACTAAAAGAATAACATTATGTATATATTTTTAATATGATATTTTATGTGTATGAGTGTTTTGCCTGCTTGTATATAAGTGGAACTAGAGTTACGGACAGTTATAAGCCACCACGTAGGTGCTAAAACTGAACCTAGGTACCTTGGAAGAGAAGCCAGTGCTTTTAAAGTCTGACTCATTTCTCTAGCCTCCATTTTTAGTATTATAATGAAAAAATGATATACCAGTTTTGTTTTACAAATTCCAACATTAAGATATATTAGCATATTACTGATTTAGGTTTTATTTCATGTTTTAGATCTTGGCAATGTTCTGATCTCTTCAAATGCCAAAGCTGTTAATGGTAAGACTGAGAGCAGTGATAGTGGAGCTGAGTCTGAGGAAGAGGAGGCCCAAGAAGAATTAAAAGGAGCAGAACAGAGTGACAGTAATGGTAAGTCTTGGGTAACTAATACAGTTAATAATTTTGTACCAGATAAGATAAAAGGACATAGAGCATTTGCACTGATTTTATTTTTTTGTATATTAATGTATGTGGTGCCATTTGTGGTATTGACTGTATATCAAGGTTTTCTGTGGATCAAAATGCTCTACTATGGAATATACAGGCAGCCAGCCTTACTTAATAATGAAATATGTGTTAATTGAGGGTGGACAAGAGTAGGCTATTCTCACAAATAAGTGCATATTGTATTACATAATTTAAAAAAGGATTATTACTTTTATATTGTGTATGGGTGTTTTGTCTGCATGTATGTCTGTGTACTGTGGTGCATGCAGTGCCCTCAGAGGTTAGAAAAGGGCATCAGATCATTTGGAACTAGAATTACTGATGGCTGTGAGCCGCCATATGGGTGTAGGGATTTGAAGAGCAGCCAGTGCTCTTAACTGATGAGCCCTCTCTCCAGCCCTTTTTATATAATTTCTTAATTTTAATTTTTGGGAAATAATGCTTCAGTTGTCCCTGGCTGGCCTTGAATATGCTCTGTAGCTGAGGATTGGATTAGAGGTGACTGTTACTATGCCCAGTTTATGCATTGTTGGCATTTAAGGCCAGGGCTTCATTAATGTTACACAAATACTCTACCAACTGATCTACTTCCCTAGCCTCATTTTGTATTATTTTAAGGTGTTATTTCCGGTGTGGATATATGCATATGTACTAAGTTGTTTAGCATTTTATCAAAAATAAAATTAATACAGAGAATAGAAAGTAGGTATAAACTTTACTTCCTGAGGATCGAATCCAAGGACTGGCACATGCTGGGCAAACATTCTACCACTGAGCTATACACTCAGCTCTTTGTATTTTGAGACTGAGTTTCTCTATGTAGCTCAGAGGTGACCTTAATTTTAACAATCTTGATTCTTTCTCTTGATTGTTGGGATCACCTCAGGCATACATTTTGATGAAGGAGTATTGGAATCGTGGGGTGCCACATTCTGGTGCCCTGTTAGTAGAAGGATAAGTAGTTAAAATTTTCGAAAGGAAAGAGGCACTGAAATTGCACAACTTATCTTTGCTTCTGCAGTCCGCTCTTTATGTATCAGTCTGGTAATCCTCTTCATTTCTAGGTTTCTAGAGCAGTTTGTCTGTCTGAGTTAATGTAAAAACATTAGGACATTATTCTAGGGGATGGAGAGGTGGCTCAGCAGTTAGGAGCACTGGCTGCTTTTCCAGAGGACCTGGGTTCAATTCCCAGCCCTCACATAGAGACTCATAGCCACCTGAACTCCATTTTCAGGGTATCTGATGCCCTCTCCTGGCCTACTAGGACACTCACTGAGCATGAATGTGTTATACAGGCATACATGTAGGCAAAACACCCATACACATAAAAATAAAATTAAAAATAGATTTAAATTTTTTATTTTTAGAGACAGGTTATCTCTTTGTAGTTCTGGTTGTTCAGAAACCTGGTATGTAGATTAGGCCTCAAATTCATAGAGACTGGTCTACCTCTGGCTCTAAGTGTTAGGATGAAAGGCATGTACCAACATATGTGCCCATATATGCATGTGTGCACACGTATAAAAATTTTAGCATGTTCATTATTTATTTATTTATTTATTTAATTTATTGTGTTTGTGTGTGCGAACACATGCATGCATGGATGTTGTTTGTTTGTGTGCCCCCGTGCACACATGGACATCAATGGACATCAAAACCTTTGGGGGTCAGATCTCTCTTTCCATCATGTGGAACCTGGAGATTGAACTCAGGTCAGCAGACTTTACAGCAAATGCATGAACTTGTTGAGATACATAACTTTAGCTCAAGAGATTATGTTTAGAGACAGGTTTGGTGATGTAACCATATAGGCAGGAGGCTGAGGCAGCAGGATTGCTATGAGTTTGTCGTTAGCCTGAATTACAAAGTGAATAGTAGGCCATTTAAAGCTACATAGTGAGACCTTTTTTCATAAAAACAAAACTCAGGATTTGTTGTTGTGGTAGACACCTTTAATTTCAATATTTGTGAGGCATAGGCAGGTAATCTGTGAATAGGGTTAGATAGTGAGACCCTGTCTTGACAAAACAACAACAATAAGCAAGCAAAAACAAACAAACAAACCACAAAAGAGGAAGATACAATTGTAAGTCCTTTTTTCATTTTTAGATTTTGTTTTGTTTTGTTTTGTTTTGTTTATCTGAGAGTCTGTGTGAGCATACTGATGCCTGCAGAGCCAGAACAGGGTATCAGATTTCTCTGGAGCTGAAGCTCTAGGCAGTTGTGAGTCTGATGGGTCCTCTGAAGGACAGGAAGTGCTCTTAACTGATGGGCCATCTCTGCAGTCCAAGATGATGATGGGGATGAGTTTTAAAGGGTTTTATAAGAGTCATGGGGAGTGGGAGCATTTTGAAAAGTTAATATGAGTTTTGGGTGAGCTTTGGCATGTAATAATAGCTCCCCTTTTGAGGATCCACCCATGCTCCCATCCAGATAGGAAGCCCTTCAAAAGGATTGTGGTGATTTGGGAATTGACTAGAGTCTAGAACTTCTTTTATTTTTTTGAGTTAGGGTCTTTCTTGTAGCCCTGACCTGGTACTCTCTATGTATACCTCAAATTCACAGAGATCTACCTGCTTCTGCCTCTTGAGTGCTAGGCTTAAAGACTTAAGTCACCATGCCTGGTTACTAGGTCCTTTTATGCATCTCACTTCCTTTTTTTCCCCCCATACAAGATAAGAAAATGATGAATAAATCAACAGATAAGAATTTGGAAGTCATCATTACCAATGGCTTTAAGGATAGCTTTGTTCAGGATACACACAACGATGTTCATACCAATTCCTCCCCGAGTGGCAGAAGCAACGAAGAAGCAAAACCTGTAGATCACACCTTGGAGCAGACTGGAAACACTGTTGTCTGTGTTCACCAAGGTATTGTTTTCAAGTACTTCTTTGTCTAACCTTTTTCCTACAACTAAAATATTCTTTAAACAATTTTAGGATGTTTAGGAATAGTTTAGGACTTAAAATCTCTTATTTAGTAATGTCTTCTTAGGGTTGTAAATACTACTGTAAGGCTTTGTTACTTTGAAACAGTGAATTAGAGCCAGAATGCTTTCTTATGTTTGTTTCTTTTTTATTTTTTCATAGTGTGTAGTTGTGTGGGTAACATGGTAAGTCTGTGGTGTGTGTGTGGAGGTCAGAGGACAACTTGATAGAGTTGGCTCTCTTTTTCCATCATTTGGGTTCTGGGCATTGAACTCAGGTAGTCAGGCTTGGCAGTAAACTCCCCTACTTTCCCAGCCATGAACTGTTTTATCAGGACCCAGCTCTGTAGACCTGGTGGCCTAGAACTGGTGTGGTTCTCCTGTCTTTACCTCTTAAGTGTGGCTGTAATCCTTTCAGTTAAATATATATTATATGTACATACATATAATATATACTTATACACACTATATGTTTATATGATATATTTATTGACGTGGAACCAGTGGTGGAATACCTGTAATCTTAGCACTTCAGAAGCTGAGGCAGGAGCATTGTGGATTTGAGGTTAACCTGAGATGCATACTATATACTGTGACTTGGTAAGACAGATTTCATTGCCAGAATGAGTATACTATAGTACTGATGAGTTGTGAAGAATAGAATGGAATATGTTTTTATTGTATAATTATACTGTCTGGACATTTGTTCATATTTAGATACAAATGATGATCACAGTGAAGATGCTTCAGGAATTCATCATTTGACAAGTGATTCAGATAGTGAAGTATACTGTGATTCTATGGAGCAATTTGGACAAGAAGAGGTAAAGATGACATTTTCCAGTTACAAAATTTCAAAGTGGTATATTGAGTATGTAGAATACAATATGACATTCATGTACAAAAATGCCATAATAAAACCTATTACTTTGCATGCTAACAAAAATTAACAAAAAACAAAAACAAAAATGCAGTGCATAACTTCTGTTAGTAGCTAATAAACTTATTCATTGCTTTGAAAACATATCTGCTGTAGGGCAAAGTGCTTGCTATGCAAGCCTGCAGATTTCAGATCCCCAGAACCTGTGTAAGTCTGTAGTACATTTGTAATCTTAGTACTCCTATAGTAAGATGGGAGCTGGTGACAGGAGAATCCTTAGAAGTTCACAGGCCAGCTAGGCTGCTGTACGTAGTGATGAATGACAGAAGACCTTGTTTCAGGTAGAAAGCAAGGACAGACATCAGAGGTGGTTGTCCTTTAAATACCACATGTATGCTGTGACACTCACTGTTAAAATGACAGCCATGAACACATTGGAATACACACACACACACACACACACACACACACACACACACACACACACTAAAAAATACCTTGAAAATGTTTAAACATTTATAGTTTTATTGTGTGTGTAAATTAAAGTGTATAATGCTGGGGGATGGTTTAGTAAGATCACTTGCTGCATAAATATAAAGGAAGGATCTGAGTTTGAATACTCAAAGTCCATATCAGAAGCCATGTGTGGAGGTGTGCACCTTTAATCCCAGCACCCAAGAAGCAGAGGCAGGCAGATTTCTGTGAGTTCAGTTCAGCCAGGGCTATACTGTAAGAACTGGTCTCAAAGTAAAAAAAAAAAACAACAAAAAACAAAAACCCTATGGCTCTATGTACCTCCACTTCAGTACTGTGGGGAACAGAAGAGAGGAGGGTTACCTGGGTCTCCTGGCTGTCAGCTCTAGGTTCAGTGAGAGATCCTGTGTTAAGGGAATAAGATGGAGAGTGACAGTGACAGAGTAGGCTACTGTTTACCCTTTGGCCTCTGCATGTGCATGCATGGGCGCACATGCCTATACTGATACATGGGCATATCCAATACACATGCTTTCACACACACATACCAAAAGAGAGAAATACACACATAATTAAAAAGCAGAGGGTAAACTGTTTATGCTACTGTCTTTGCTAAAACATTGATTAGTGAAGAAAATTGAATAATCTTCAAGCATAAATTAGTTCTTCATATTGAGTATATTGCTGTCCGTTAAAAGTTTTAGTTTAAGAGCTGGACAGCTGGCTCAGCAGTTAAGAGTGTGTACTCTTGGGGCTGGAGAGATGGCTCAGTGGTTAAGAGCACTGACTGCTCTTCCAGAGGACCTGGGTTCAATTCCAGCATCCACATGGCAGCTCACAACTGTCTGTAACTCCAGTTCCAGGGGATCGGACACCTTCACACCAATGCACATAAAATAAAGTTAAATAAATTATTTAAAAAAAAAAAAGAGTGTGTACTCTTAAGAGTGCTCCTGCAGAAGACCCAAGTTTGATTCCTAGCACCACATCAAGACAGATCACAACTGCCAGTGAATCCTACCCCAGGAGACCTGATGCCCTCTTTTGGCCCACATGGGTATTGCTCTCATTTGTAAAAACCTCCACCCAAACCCACACACAAGATGCACACATATCTCCATAATTAAAAATAAAAATAAAGCCTTTAAAACAAAAAAACACTTTTAGACAAACTAATCTTCAGATTTTAGTCATGATTCAGTATTGGAAGAACAAATTAAACCTAAGTCTGTGTTTGGGTGTACTGGCCTACACCATTAATTCCAGCAGTTGGGAGTAGAGGCAGTTACATCCTTGAGTTTGAAGCCAGCTTAGTTTACATAGAAAGTTCCAGGCCAGCCCAGGCTACATAGTAAGACCCTGTTCCCTAGAAAAAAAAACACCAAAGGAACAGCAAGGAAGTTTTACTTTCAAGGCAAAGTTGTATTATATAGCCCTGGCTGGCTTGTAACTCCCTATGTACACAAGGCTGGCATTGATAGAGATCCACTGCTTGTACTACCCAAGTGCCTCCCTTGTGCATTACTTGGATAGTTCATTTCAGTCACCTTTTCTTGTTGATCCAGGAATGGCTAGCTTTATGTTAACTTGATATAAGCTAGAGTCATATGGGAAAGGTGACCCTCAGTTGAGAAAGTGTTCCCACCAAAAGAAAGTCTATGGGATATTTTCTTCATTATAATTGGTGTATTTGGACCCAGATTACTGTGGACAGAGCCACCACTTGGCCCATGGTCGTGGCTGGTGTAAGAAAGCAGGCTGAGTAAGTTGTGAAGAACAAGCCAGTAAGCAGCACTCTTTTATGGGTTATGGGTTCCTGCCTCTAGATTCCTACTCTGATTTTCCCCAGTGATGACTTATATGCTGTATGGTAAAATAAACCCTTTCCTTCCCAAGTTGCTATTGGTCACGGTGTTTAGCACACCACACAAACCCTAACTAAGACACCTGTGGCATCAGTTTTTATATACCTATATCTGAAACATTATCTTTTTTTGTTCTCCTACAGCCTTATCTTAGTATGTCTCAGACTGTCTAGTCCTCAGAGCTTTTCTTTCTCTTACTTTCTGTGTTCAGTTTTTTAAGACCATTACTATTTTGTTGTAAGTCCTCAAACATCTTCCATCCCAACTACACTGATGGTTCATTGTCATTCTGAAACCTCTGATTTATCTCATATTCATTTGTTCTTTTTTGATTTTGTTTTGAAATAGGGGCTGACTGTGTAGCTTTGACTTGTCTGGAGCTCACTATATAGAACACACTGTCCTCTAACTCATAGAGATTGGCCTGCCTCTGCTTCTGAGTGCTGGAATTAAAGGCATATGCCACCATGCCTGGTCCATACTCATTTGTTCTTAGTTGAAGTTCCATCATTTTTTTGGAAATCTTTCCTGACCAAGCCTCAACCTGTTTCCAGTAAGGGTTAGGTTTTTATCGATTGACTTCTGTAGTATCTGCCACATACCGTTTTTTCACAAATCTTATTGACAGTGCAGCAATAATCTCTTGTGACTCCCTTATTCAGGCTGTGAGCAAGGATCCTCTTTGCTTAGGGTTGCCTAGAGTTGAGTATGGTAACTAAGGTAAGCATGTCGTTATATCTTGAGTGATTGATAGACGTTTGGGAAACCTTACTTTTTGCTCATTGAGTAAATCAGGCATATCTCAGTTATTTCCTCTATATGGGGTGCTGAGTACAAGTTGAAGAGTATTTTAAAGAAAAAATATTTTCAACAGGAACATGGAAGGACCCTTTTAGAAAAATGGTATTTATATCACCATGAAAACTTTTGGTATATCATTTATATTCTTAACTTTTAACTGTCATTTTAAATTTGTAGTCTTTAGTAGACAGCTTTATGTCAAACAATGGACACTTTCAGTATTACTTAGGTGGTGATTCCAGTCAGCGCTTGGAAAGTTCTGTTTTTTGTGAAGATGCTCAAATATCTCCTGGAACTGGCAGCCTTGGGAAAATGGTAGTCGTGGAAGGAAAAGGTGGTGAAGTAAAGCACGGAGGAGAAGATGGCAGAAGTAGCAGTGGAGCTCCACACCGTGAGAAGAGAGGAGGAGAAAGTGAGGACTTCTCTAATGTCAGAAGAGGGAGAGGTGCGTATTCCTCATTCACTGATTCATTTTGATTTCTGATGCAGTCTCATTAACTAGCTCTCTCTGGTCTAGAACTTGTAGTGATCCTTCTACCTCTGGCTGCCAAGCATTGGTGTGGCAGTGCCCAGCTTTATTTTTTTAATCATTTGTGCAGTGTTTTCTAAAGTAACATTTGCGTGCACGCACGCTCGTGCACGTGCACGTGCACACGTGTACTCTACACGTAATGGCATGCATGTAAAAATTAGAGGACACCCAGGACATGAGGCTTGGCAACACATGTCTTTACCTGCAGAGCCACCTTGGCAGCCCATTCATTATGCTGTATGTCTAAGGAGTCACATCGAAGCTTTATTTGTTTTTCTCTCTGAACCATCAGTGACTGTCCTAACTGTGCTGCCAATTTTGAGTCCCTGTGTGTAAGTCAGTCAGAATTATTTATCTTTGCCTAATTTGGATTAAAGGAAATCATTTAAAGCTGACAAATCAATAAGAGCTAAGGAACACTGAACACTAAAATAATTAACATAGTGATATGGGCTGGCAGGATGGTCAACAGGTAAGTGTGCTTGCTGCCAAACCTGACAACTTGGGTGGAAGGAGATATAACTGATTTCCACAAGTTGTCCTCTGACCTGCAGTTCCTGCCTTGGCATGAGCATGCCCTCCACCCTGACACAAAACAAATAAGAAATGCAACAATAATAAAAAAAGGAATAGTGATGTGATTAGGGAGTAGACTAGATGTGAGTGTAGAAAAAAGTAAATATATTTGTTATTATTTTGGTAAGAAATAAAGATATTGTGAAAGGAAAAGAATGAGAGAGAATGAATACATAAAATTATAGTGTAGAGAGCTGTTGGTGATGGTGCAGGCCTTTAATTCTAGCACTCCAGAGGCAGAGGCAGAGGCAGAGGCAGATAGATCTCTTGAGTTTTAGGCCACCCTGGTTTACAGAGTGAGTTCCCTGTCAAAGCAAATTGAAGCATAGAACAAGGGGTGTAGCTCAGTCATAGCTTGTGTTCAGTCCCCATCACTGAATGAGAAAGGAAAGGGAAAAGGATTGAGAAATAACCGTTTGCACAAATTATGGATATTCTCAATTTTCAATAGGGTTATGTCCCAACACATCCCTTATTAATTGTGACTATTATAAGTTGAATATGCATGTAGCCTAACTGCCTTCACTATACTCAGAACACGTGCATTGGCTTACTCTTGGGTAAAATCATATAACAAAAAGCCTATTAAAGCAATATACTATATTTCAGGGACTGGAGAGATGGACAAGATGGAGAGATGGTGGTTAAGAGTATTTGTTGCTCTTGCAGAGGACCTGGGTTCAGTTCCCAGTACCCATATCAGAGGGCTTACAACTGCCTGTAATGCCCGTTCCAGGATTGAGCACCCTCTCTGGCTCTTTGAACACCTGCTTGCACATAGTGCACAGACATAAACATTCTCTTTCTCACTCTGTCATACATACAGATAAATCTTTTTGGTTTTTCGAGACAGGGTTTCTCTGTGGCTTGGAGGCTGTCCTGGAACTAACTCTTGTATACCAGGCTGGTCTTGAACTCACAGAGATCCACCTGTCTCTGCCTCCCGAGTGCTGGGATTAAAGGCATGCTTCACTACGGCCCGGCACACAGATAAAACTTAAAAAAAAAAAATACTGTACTAAAGGTGAAAAACACAGTTGTTACATGGGTATACTTTTGCACCATTGTAATGTTGAGAGATTGTAGGTAGAATCTGTGCATTCAGTAGAAACTTTTGTACACTGAATGCATAAAAGTAGAGAGGAAAATCAGTAAGGGATTGGATTAGTTTCCTAGTATTCCAGTTTATTGACTTTACATAGATGTAGCTCTTTCCTTGTATTATAAATAGAACTGTATCTAGAACTCAAAGTAACTGGGGCATGCTTTAACACTTGATCTGCTTATACAAATATTGAACAAGAGGATGTGGGAAAGGCAAGAAGCAAAAAACCCTTGATTTCTGTTATGAGGAAAGATTTGTAACACTCCATTTCTACAAAAATACACAGTAATAAAAACCATTAGTTGTGCTGGGTATGTAGTTCAGTAGTAGAGTGCATGTCTCATATATGTAAGGACATAAGGGAGGGAGGGAGGGATGGAGGGAGGGAAGGAAGGAAGGGAGGGAGGGAACACATATAAAGGACAAACACAAGAAACAACAAAAAACCTCTTGTTAGCCTTCTGAAAAGTAAGTTGGCAATACTAAGAACCCTGACAAATTTGTTATCTTTTGATCCAATAATAATTATTATTGGAATCTGTCCTAAAGGAGGTATGATGGTTAATACTGTTTGCTAACTTGAAGGCTTTAGAGTCACCTAGGAGACAAGCCTCTGGGCATGCCTGGGAGGGATGTTTAGATTGGGTTAGTTGGGGTAAGAAGACTTTCCTGAACTAGGTTCTAGTTTAACACAAAGGAGGAATTGAGCTGAGCACTCGTACTCATCATGCTCTGCCTTCTAACTTGAGACCAGTGTGACCAGCAACCCCACGCCCCTGCTGCCATACCATTCCTGCCACGATGGACTTGGCCTTGACTGGAAGCTAAACCAAACCTTCCTTTTTCTTAAGTTTCTTTGCTCAGGTACTTTTTTGCAGCAACCAGGAAAGTTACTAACATAGGAGACAACAAAAATTTAGAAATGGACTTATATATGAAGGTATTTATTACAACATTATTTATATTAGCAAAAATGTGGTTTGAAGCCCGAGAGCTGGTAAAATCACTTGCTACAGCACACACCTGATGACCTGAATTCAGTCCTGGAACCTATAGTGAGGGATAAAAACTGATTCCTGAAAGTTGCCCTTGACTTTTACACATGTGACATAGTGCATACACAAACACACATCCATACATATCATACAAACACACACAGAACACACACACACACACACACACACACACACACACACACACACTAATTGTGGTTTTTTTTTTTTTTTTTGCTTTTTTGTTTTTTTGAGACAGGATCTCCCTGTAGAGCCCTGGCTGTTCTGGAACTCTCTATTTAGACCAGGCTGGCTTTGAACTCCCAGAGATCTGCTTGCTTTTTGCCTCCCAAGTGCTGGGATTAGAGTATATACTACCACACCCAGCCTTAAAACCATTGTCCTTTGTTATGTTTTTGAGACATGGTCTCATGTATCCTAGACTAGCCTTGAACTCTTTATGTAGCCCAAGCTGAGTCTGAACTTCTGTTTTTCTTGGATCTACCTCCTAAGTGCTAGGATTACAAGCATGTGCCACCATTTGTACAGAATGGTTGGGTTAGTTACTTCATGGTTCATATTAAGGAATTTATATGTAAGTTTTTGGAATAAGAGTCAATGATGGGGGTAAATGTTTGTAATATGATTTTAAAAATAGAACATAATTATGAAATTAAGACAATTTAAAAATCTGTGTATATAAAAAGAAATAAATGGCAATATAGAAAAATCTTAGTAGTTAGATATTTAATATGTATAAGGAGTATGAGGTTTATAATTTGGAAACCCTTTTATGAGCTTAAAATATTTTTAAACCAAGAAGGAAATTTTAGTTATTTAATGTAACTTTAAATACTTTAAAAACAAATTATGTTTTTAAAGCAGCTTTAATTATCTTTACAGTAAAGAGGGTTTAAATTTTTATAAAGAAGATTTATTTTATTTTATGTGTATGAGTGTTTTCACATATGTGTATGTGCGTCATGTGCATGCCTCTTGCCTGTAGCATTAAGAAGATGGTGTCAGATCCCCTGGAACTGGAGTTACAGATGGTTTTAAGTTATCATGCAGGTTCTGGGAACCAAGTGCAAGTCCTCTGCAAGAGCAATAAGTTCTGTTATCTGTTGAGCTGTCTCTCCAGCCCCAGTAAAGAGTTTTTAAACATGTACTCTGAACATGAATCTTCCCTATGAATTGCATAAACATTGTCATATACTAATAATTATGTACTGTCTTCCCCTAATATAGAAGTTTTTGTTGATGCCTTTAATCTTTTTTTAATTACTTTTTTTTATTTTAGAGGCACTCATATTTACATATCCATCCCCCCATTCCCTCACCCTTCCTTCCTCCCATATTCCCCACCAACCCCTGATTCCTTTAATCTTAATGGTTTATTTTTTATGCTTCCTGATTGCTTTTATTTTACTTTGTTTACATATCAAGGAATTAACAAGAAAAATGAATAATATACTATTTCTATTTGATAAAGAGACATTTATTCAATAGCTAACTTAATTTATTCTCTTAACAGGGCATAGAATGCCACATTTGAGTGAAGGAACCCAGGGTCGGCAAGTGGGAAGTGGAGGTGATGGAGAACGCTGGGGTTCAGACCGGGGGTCCAGAGCCAGCCTCAATGAGCAGATTGCCCTTGTGCTCATTAGATTGCAAGAGGACATGCAGAATGTCCTCCAGAGACTTCATAAACTGGAAACCCTGACTGCTTCGCAGGTAAGCTGCCGAGTCAGACTGTCTCATTGGTATTTTTTGTTTTTTGACTCTGTAAAGCAGTGTGGAATCTCTGTTGATGATACTTGCATAAATACCAGGTGTGTTTGTGGGTGGGGGTTGTGAGGTGTGATGGCATGGGTGGCTCATACCTGTAATCCTAATGTTAGGGAGGGGAGGCAGAGAGGATAGGAAGTGCAAGTTCAACTGCATTGGAGTTATAGGGCCAGCTTGGGCTAGACACCCTTTCCCAAAATAGAAACAAACAAATAAAAACTCCCTAAACACATTTTTTTTCATTCTGTCAAAGTTGTTACTTTTCATTTTTATTTAAAGGCGAAATTATCATTGCAGTCAAGTAATCAGCCCTCCTCACAGGTAAGAGTTTTAATTATAGTACATACTGGAAATAATTAAGCCATTTAATATGAAATCTACCTTTTAGAGCATTGAAGCTAAAAATGCATTTGGGACTGTGTCCCTTTTAATCTTTGCCCACTCTTTTCCTTGAGAGTGCTTTACTTTATTCTGTAATAAATTTATTTCCTACAATAAAAAAGTTGGATGTGTTTAAGTGTTGGAAGTCTGCTTACTGAACATAGAATAATCTGTCAGAGGAGAGATTTGCTACTAGTTTTAATTTTTATGAATTTTGCACTAAGAATGTCTTCAAGCCAGGCAGTGATGGCACACACTTTTTATCCCAGCACTCGGTAGGCAGAGGCAGTTGGATCTCTGTGAGTTTGAGAGCAGCCTGGTCTATAGTGTGAGTTCCAGGACACCAAGGCTACACAGAGAAACCCTGCCTTGAAAAACAAAAGAAACAAAGAAATGTCTGCAAGTTTCTTTATGCAGTCTTTATTTGATAAATGACAAGCTTATTTTATTTTTCCAGAGACCATCTTGGTGGCCCTTTGCGATGTCTCCTGGTGCATTAACTTTTGCTATTATATGGCCTTTTATCGCCCAGTGGTTGGTGCATTTATATTATCAAAGAAGGAGAAGGTAATACCATAGGTTTATAATTGAAATGGTGCATGAACTCTTATAAGAGTAGTAGATATAACTGGCAGCAGTAGTTAAGGAGATAGGTACTTAATAGATACATTGTCATTTTGAACATCTGCTGATCCTGAAACTAAAACTGCCTTGGAAAAGGTATCTGTAGTTTTCTATGTATTTGTAAAAGGTAAAGAATGTTTTCACTTGAGTATGTGAACAATTTATACACCTTTAATTTATGTAACATGACAGTCACTATATGCTTCATAAGTTTTATGGATTAATGAAAACATGATGCTCTTAAAGGTCATTTCTAAATAGCTTTAATAGAATATCAGAAGCAGCAGTCACTGTTAATATGCATACTCTTTGATGATACAGACCTTAAATCACTTCTACAATAGTTACATATTTTAGGTGTGTTTCAATCCTTTTTCTTTTTTTATTATTTTTATTTTATTTGTGGGTATATTGGGTGTAGAGCTCAGAGCCTCATACTAAGAAAACAGTTTACCACTGAGATGTACCTTCCAGCCCCCAAACTTTTCATGTTTCTTTTGTAGAACGCCAGTGGTTAGGGCTGTGGAGATAGTTTCGTAAGCATGAGGGACCTGAGTTCGATTTTCAGTACCTACAGAACAGAGCTGGGCATGGTTGCGCATGCTTGTAGTATCACTGCTAAGGAGGAGGTTGATACAGGATAAGGGGTTTGCTGGTTAGCCAGCTTGGCCTGCTTGGTGAGTTTCACTGCCTCCATTAAAACAGTAGTTCTTAACCTTCCTAATGCCTTGACCCTATAATACAGTTCCTCATGTTGTGGTGACCCTCAACTGTAAAATTATTTTCATTGCTACTTCATAACTGTAATTTTCCTGCGTTATGAATGATAATGTAAACATCTGTGTTTTCCAATGGTCTTAGGCAACACTTGTGAAAGGTTCCTTTGACCCTCAAAGGGATTTTGACCCACAGGTTGAGAACCATTGCTCTAAAACATGGCAAGTATCTAAATTAGTGGCTCTTTTTTTTTTTTTCCCTCCTTTTAAAGATTTATTTATTTATTTATTTATTTATTATATATGTAGTGTTCTGCCTGCATGTATCTCTGCAGGCTAGAAGGGGGGGAACCAGATCTCATTACAGATGGTTGTTAGCCACCACAATGTGGCTGCTGGGAATTGAACTCAGTATCTCTGGAAGACGTGCTAGTGTTCTTAACCACTGAGCCATTTCTTGAGCCCAAGTCAGTGATTCTTAACCAGTGATAGCATTAGGAAAGTTGAGAACTACTGCTCTAGGGAATGATACCTGATGTTGACCTATGGCTTCTACATGCATTCAGCACATACACATACATGCACTACACACATGTGAATGTCTACACACATGTACACACATATATACAAAATATATAAAATGAAGGTAGTTGAGAAATTTGGCATAGAACAATAATTATTAATTTTTTAGATGTAAATTTGAAAAATCTTATCACATCATGAAAGGTTAAAAAACAAATGATACATTCAAACATGACAATCCATGCCTATAATCTCAGCATGTGTGAGGTGGGGAGAGGAGGAGCAAGAGTTCCAGGCTAGCCAGTAAAACCCTGTCTTACAAAAACAAAAAAGGAAGAAAAATTGTTTTAGAAGTTATACAAAATTAGATTTTTTTTTATTTCTCTTTGCTCTTTGTTCTTTGAGCTTGACTTTCAGTCTTTGTTTAGGCTGACTTGAGTGCAGACTGGCTTTGAACTTACAGTGGTATTCTGCCTTAGTCTCCCAATTGCTGGGATTATAGGTCTGTGTCATCACACCCCTTTGAAAATTGGACTATTTTTGTAAAATTACTTCATTCATTTATGTTAATACTTCATTGTTAGCAGAAGTCAGTAAAGGAGGCTCACTGCTTCTTCTAAGTATCCTTCTGGTTGTTCCAAGATGGAGAAATAATGATGTTTCTGCTTTATTATTGGGCTTTTCACTGTTTAGTGATCCTTCCAATTGCAACTTGTTCAGTACAGCATGTTTTAGTGAGGTATGTTTAAACACAGTTTGTGGCTGAGTTGGAGGCAGAACCAAATTTGATAAGGAAATGAGTTTTAGGCTTGAGAGGATTTAGGTATCTTAATCTGGCATTTTTCCTGATTTTTATTTATTGATATAAAATATCCTAGTTATAATTTCTCCCCCCCATTCCTTCTTGTTCCTCTGCACCTCCCTTCCTCTCCAGATCTACTTCCTTTCTGTTTGTCATTAGAAAAGAACAGGACTTTTAATAGATAAGAACCAAATATGACAAAATAAAATATATAAGATGAAGCACAAACTATCATATCAAAGTTGGACTTCACAACTCAACAGGAGGAAAAGAGTCCCAAGAGCAGTCAGAAGAGTCAAGAGACCTACTCGTTCTCACAGGGTCTACATTTTTTGAGACAGGGTGTCATTATATATACTCCTGGCTGGTTAAGCTATTAATTTGATGGAAATTACTATACTTCCAATACTATAATACTATATATATTTTTAAATTTTTTTAAAAAATGTATTTCATGTTCATTGGTGTTTTACCTGCATGCATGTCTGTATGAGACTGTTGAGTCTACTGGAACTGGAGTTCTAGACAGTAAGGAGCTGTCATGTGGGTGCTGGGGATTGAACCTGGATCCTCTGGAAGAGCATTCAGTGTTCTTAACCACTGAGCCATCTCTCCAGCCCTGGAAAGCGTATTTTTAACCACTCTCAGCCTTCCCAGACTTCTAGATTCAGTTTTGTTGGGGATAGTGAACCTAACAGTTAAGATAAAATAAAAATTGGTAGAGCCATGTGGTGGTGGGCCATCCCTTTAGTTGCAGAGGCAGAAAGACCTCTGAGTTTGAGGCCAACCCTGTCTACAGAGTGACTTCCAGAAAAGCCAGGGAAATGCAGAGAAACTGTGTCTCGAAAAACAAAATAAACAAAAAAGTAGGAATGGGGAGGTTCTCAAGAGAATTTTTTTGTTTTGTTTTTTTTGTTTGTTTGTTTTTGAGACAGGGTTTCTCTGTGAAACAGTCCTGACTGTCCTGGAACTAGCTCTGTAGACAAGGCTGGCTTTGAACTCACAGAGATCCTCCTGCCTCTGCCTCCCAGTGCTGGGATTAAAGGTACGCATGCACCACCATTGCCTGGTGAGAGGAATATTCTTTAGCCCAGAGAGCAGATACTGACATAAAAAGTCAGGCCAGGGGAGCTGGGCATACATACTTCTGCAGAGGAAAGAGTCTGTAGCAAGCACTGGTATTTTAGCATGATGAATGCCATTAGACAGGGAGGCTTTACAGCAGAGGGACCTCCATATACAGTCCTCATAGAGTGTAGCTGGGGGAGAGGAAAGATTGAATTGCTATTCCTCTATTATACTATAATACAGTATAATACTATAATACTATAGTATAATACTATAATACTATATCCTCTATATCCTCTATTTTGTAAGTTAATTAAAGATATTTCAGTATACAAAACAAAGATTCTGTTAAGAACTTGAAAAACACTCTGAAGTTTTAAAGATAATGATTGATACTTATTGGCACTTTGGAAGATTGGGAGTTCAGGAAGGAACTAAATTGTTTGCTGCTTTGCAAAGGACCGTGTATAGCAATCTGCACCATGTGTTCCTTGATAAATAAGGGTAGTGAACTGTGCAGGCACCCAACAGTTAACATTTCTCTACACCTTCGCAAGCAGTTGTCTTCAGAACCACCCATATCTCTTCGCCAGGCATTTCAATTTTCTTCTCCATGGGCATTTTGTTCCCGATGCAGAGACCCCATGTTGTTTAAATGTGATTATTTAAAATGTCACTCATGCCAAGGAAGTGTATATAAGAGGTTTTCTATAGAACTTAAGAAAGGGCCCAAGTGTTTGAAATATTACACCTTGTGGTTAGAGAGATGGCTCAGCTGTTAAGAGCACATAACATTCTTCCAGAGGAAGCACCCATGTTGATGGCTCAAAACTGTCCCTAACTGGACATTGTAACAATAACTCTTTCTGCCAGCTGCCCGAGCCCTGCCGCCATGCTAGTGCCCCCAAACAACACACAGAGTCTTATGTTAGTTACAGTGCTGCTGGCCAATGACTAGGATTTCTCATTTGCTAGCCCTGTCCTAAGTATCAACCATAACCATTAATCTATATATTTTATAAAGACTTTTCTTACTGAGGACGCTGGTGACATGCGTCCTCTCTTGCCAGGATCACATGGTGACTCCTGGTGTTTACTACATTTCCCAGAATCTTCGACTCCTAGCCCCACCTATCTAGCTTTCCTATTGGCCAACATTCTTTATCAACCAATAAGACATATACACAGAAAGACTTCCCCCATCATCTCCTCTTTTCTGTCTAAATAAAAAGAAGGGTTTTAACATTAACATAGTAAAATATATAACAAAACAGTTATCAAGTAAGAACTATAGTTACAATATTTAGTCCATTAACATTTAGCAAGATTTTAAAGAAAATATTCTATCATCTATGCTATCTTTGTGAGTCTAAAGTCTTATATGTAGCTTATCTTTTAATAATAACTAAAGAATGGGCTGGAGAGATGGCTCAGCAGTCGAAAAACATATACACAGAAAGACTTACCCCATCAGGACATAATTAAAAATAATGAAATATTACTGCCAATGAGTTGTATAATAAGAGTATGTCTAGAGAAAGAACTCAGTCTGTAATGAGAGTTGCAGGTGGTTTGGCATCTATATTCTTTCCAGGAGTGGAGACTTTTGCAAATCATGCATTGATGGATGTGCTTTAAACCAGCAAGACTACATTTATCTGGTAGCTTGCTCTACTTTCATTGAAACATATCCATGTTTTGAGGAGTATGTTTCTCTCTCTCTCCCACCCACCTCTTGCCACTGAACCGATCTAGGAGCCTGCCATATTTAACCTGGTGGAGTGCCTGAAAATAATTTGTTTCATATTTTCATAAAATTCTGAATTAATTTCCCCATGTGTTAACTGTATAGTAGACAGAAAAGTACGAGAATTATAAGGGAAAAGGAGAGATAGAATTGAAATTATTTATTAAAAACTGCTTGCAGGCTGTTATATAATAACTTGGTATACTGCATATCCTTAGCACATGAAAGGCTTTGGGGTTAGTCCCCAGCACCAGCAATAAATGAATATACAGAAAAGTCTTTGATGATTTTGGTATCTACAGTTGTCTTTCCTACCAAGTGAGTCACATGAAGTAACTGCATAATGATAATGTGTAGTTTTATAGCTTTATCTTGAATTTGAATGCTATGTTATTGTCCAGAAAATTTTTTGGTATGAATGTGCTTGATATTCTAGTTGCGTTTATGCTTACAGGATTGGTTTTTACTTTCTTTTTAAAGAAAACTAAACTGAAGAAAATGGCATTTTATTCAAGAAGATTGCTGGGCCTGGATGACCTAAGAAATGAAATGGATTGTGGATTTCACAAGAAAATCTCAGTTTGTGATATTACATTTCTTTTTTGTCCAATAGTTTGATATATATATATATTTATACATATATAAACTCATATATATGTATATGTATTCTTTGCACTACACAAATGGTAACATTTTAAGGACTAATATTGCTGATACTTGAAAGATCAATCTCAACTAGGTTTTAAGCAGCATACATAGACTTACTCTTTTTGAGCTTGATGGACACTAAGTTATTAATTACTGTTTGGTAATACATTTACCTGATTTTCTCCCATAAGATATATAAGCTGCTTTTCTAAGGCATTGTTATGATTATAAGATTTATAATATTTACTTTTTTAAATTAAATGCAAGAAAGAATGCAACACAAGAGTGGATTTAAATGAGGTTAAATCAGTTTTGTATCAGTCACTGAACTGTCAGCCAGGTAGCTGGAAATTGATGGACGAGTCCTCTGTATTCTTTGTGGTCTGCATAGAAGTCTTGGGCTTTCACAACTCAAAATCATCATCCTTTGTACTGTGGTTACTTTTTACAAATGATTCACTGACTAGACTTAACTTGATGATGGAAATGATGAATAGACCTAGTGTATGTGTAAAAGTATTTTCCAAGCTGACACAGAGAATTCATCCGATTTTAATTCAACCATACACTTAATCCTTGGTAATCATATTTCTTTAAGTGAGGATATCCAATGTCTGCTTCATAGGGTGCTTTGCAATAAAATGAAAACATATTTATACTGTTTTTACTAAGGACAAGTACGGAAATGCTTTTTTTTTTTTTTTTCCTGCAAGTGGTAAATTCCAGTCTGGATTCTTAACCTCTTAGTGCCTCAGGTTTTCCTTTGGGGTGTACTTCACAAGGTATTAGGACTTTGAGTATACAGGCCATCTTTATCCACATAATTAAGGAATGCCTAACTAATGGAAACTTAAGTTCCTTCTGGCCATTAGACCAAAAGGAAGACTAATTTAATCCTGGAAGACTATATTTGAAAGATAACCCTTTCTTATGTACTTTCCAGAATCTGTGCTCACTCATATGTGTAATTTAAAAACTTTATAGCAAAGCCCCCTTTTATCCTTTTGAGACAGAGTCTCAGTAGCTCATGCTAGCCTCCAGTTCACTATGTAGCTAAAGATGACCTTGAACACCTGATGTTCCTGTCTCCACTTCTCTCCAGTTCTGGGATCACAGGCATGCACCACCATGGCTAGCTTTGTATAGTAAAAAAAAAAAAAAAAAATAACACATTCTTGATATGTATGATATAGGGGAGATTAGCATTAGGTATTGTATATTTTCAGTAAGAATGGAAGAATCCTTATCTGGTATATATGGTTCTTCTTTGAAGAAAAAAGTATGAGAATATGATTTGCTTGTCCCAGACTTCATTTTTTTTTTATTGTGACTTAGTTTTTAAATTATGTATCACATCTCGCTTGGTTGATCTGTTTAAAGGAACTACTAGTATTTGATTAAGCTACAAAACAAACCAACCCAAATTAATCTTCTACTTATTTAAAAGGAGAAAAAAAAGCAAATAATTGAATTATAGACAAAGTGTGGATCAAGAGTTTATTTTTTTTTAAATTAGACAACAAGTTGGTATAATAAAATGATGGTTTTTTTTTCTTATATAAATAAAATGCAAATCATGGATGTAACAAATTGTGATTCATTGCAAGTAGTCAAGGTAACTAACTCTTAAGGGCAACCATTTGTATCTTATATCAGAATTACTTTATAGTGTGAAAAGCACTTTACACACAGTTCTTGTATATAAAAGATATAATTTAGGCTGTAATGATATGCTTTAAAACATAAACCTCATTTTAAAAATTGACAGCTATGGTATTTTTTTAATGATCAGTTTTTCTGTTAATTGTAAAACTAAGTTAAAAATAAAAGGCTAATGAGAAATGAAATGTTTTTTTTTTATTACTGGTTAATGTACTGATTGTGTACAAAGCTAAAATGAGAATAGTAGGAGTCCTTGTAAAGTAATCCTGAGTTACAGGCAGGAGATATACCTTTTCCACTTGCCAAGAATGTGAGGTCCCATGGTTCAGTCCCCAGTACAATGCAAAGACAAGAAATTCATGAAACTAAATAAAGCCATATTGTGTAATATGATAAAAATTTCAGAAATGGAAGCAATTTAACTCACTTTGTTTTCTGATTGAGGATGTTAGAAAAAAATAGATAGGTTTTACTGTGTAGCTCAGACTGGCCTCACACTTGAAGCAGCTGCCTACAAAGGCCAAAGAAAGTCATTTTAAGTTTCCATAGAAGTGAAGCTGGGGATGTAAAGGTATAGAGTAATCTTTTAGATTCCTCTGGTGCTGTCTCTCGGGTCACAGTAGAGTTGTCTGCAGCACAGGAGCATTTATATGTACCCATATACAGAAGGCTAGCGATGAGTTCCTACTGTTTTCTGTTTCAGATTGCCTTTAGCTCAAATAATGTTTAGGTGAAAGAGGAATATTTGGGGGTGACAGTCTTATTTCTTCAGATGGATTGATTTCTGTGGGGAACAGCCAAGATCATTAATCTCCTTGTTTAACAAGCGTCTCAACAGGTGTAAATTTTGATGATAAATCATTTATTCTCAGTAAATACTATTACAGCCTGCCTTACCTAGTGGCAGAATTTTAGATGACTGTAGCTGCATATGCCATGTACGTGATAGTAAATTGTAATTTTCTTCTCAAGGGCTGTGTTGGCTAATTTTCTGTCAACTTGACACTAGCTAGAGTTATTTGAAAGGAGGGAACCTCAACTGAAAAAATGCCTCCATAAAGTCTGGCTGTCAGGCATTTTCTTAATCAGTGATTGATGCGGGAGGGCCCAGTCTATTGTGGGTGGTGCCATCAGCTCCTGCCATCAGCTCTGCATCAGCTCCTGCCTCCAGGTTTCTGCCCTGTTTGGGTTCCTGTCCTGACTTCCTTTGATGATGAACACTGCTATGGAAGAATAAGCCAAATAAGCCCTTTCCTCTCAAACTTGCTTTTTGGTCATGGCATTTCATCACAGCCATAGAAACCCTAAGACAAGGGCCCTGTCTTCTCTATTAGAAATAAGTCCAGTTCAGCAATGCTTCAGGTTTTAGTGTTTTTGAGAGTGCATGTGTCCGTGCCACAGCACATGTATGGAGGTCAGAAAATAACTTGCAGTTCTCTTCCCACTGTGTGGTTCCTGGAGACTGAACTTAGGTGGTCAGGTTTGCTGGCCCTAGTTTTTGTTTTCCAGAATGTTTTAATTATACATTCATGTGATGTCCCATTTAGTCAGTTGAATAAGTAAATCATCTGTATTCGTTATTTTCCTATTGCTGTGATTAACACATGACCAAGGCAGCTTATTAAAAAACACCTTATTTGAGGCTTATGGTTTCAGAAGGGTAGAGTGCATGACGGTGGAACAGAGGTAGCAGGCAGCATCTGAGCATTCATACCTTAACCACAGGCTGGGGCAGAGAGCACACTGGGAGTGACCTGAGTCTTTTGAAACCTTAATGCTCACCCTCAGTGACATACTTCCTATCCTTCCCAAACAGTTCCACCAACCAGGGACCAAGTATTCAAACATGAGCTTATGGGGACCATAAGGGTTTCTCTGTGTAGCTTTGGAGCCTATCCTGGCACTCACTCTGGAGACCAGGCTGGCCTTGAACTCACAGAGATCCGCCTGCCTCTGCCTCCTGAGTGCTGGGATTAAAGGCGTGCACCACCAACGCCTGGCAATGGGGACCATTCTTATTGAATCCATCTCATACGAAAGAAACAACACTGCTGGAACCTTAGGTTAAATAATCATGAAAGGAGAAATGATGCTTTTTTATTTTTAATACTTTACATTTTGTACAGGCAGGTAAAATGAAATGAAACATAAATGTGCAAAGTGTTTATGATTCACTGTCAATGAAAAAACACCACCAACTACTATGAAAACAGGCCAATTTACAAGAACCAAAAAGTAGAAAAACATTTTATAAAAAATACATCTGTGAAAAGAACTGTTTCTCTGTGTATAGCACATTGTTTCCTTGAATAAATGTATCCCTATGTTTATCCAGCCCTCCATTGACATACATTTTTGTTTAGTTTAGTGCTTTATTCATGTAGCCCTAGGTAGGTCAGGACCTCTCAATAATCCATAGCAGAATTTAATTTTACTGAAACTCACTGTCCAATGATTTGCTTTAAGAAGCCACTAGGGGTTTGCTTCTGCAGACTCATTTTTACATAACTGGGATCTAGAGCTCTCAGAGGCCAGGAATCCTTGGACCCCCTAGTTTGTTAATCTGCTTACTCTAATTCTACAAAGTAATTAGTATTTGGGTATGTCTTACTGGAGATTGAACCCAGGGACCTATGCATACTAGGTAAGTCTTCTCTACCTCCAGCCTCCAAAGTAATTATATCAATAGTCAATATATTGGTGCTCGATATTAACCTGCTATGGCATTTCGATGTGGCACACAATTGTTTAACCCCTTTTTGATCCCAAAGGCTTTTTCCCCCCTACTTGAAAACACTATAAAAAGATGATAAATACCCTGTAGAATATGCTGTCACCCAAAAGTGTGACTCACTTTAAATGAAGTTGTAGTAACTGAATTTTAAATATTTTTATTTAAAAAGATGAATGGAAAATTACGTAGTCATATTATGCTGCATCTTTTATTGGAACAGATAAAAACTTGTCTGTCTCATCTTTGCAAACTACATTATATCTGGGCTGTGATTAGGTAGGTGATAATGGAAAGAAGAAACTCTAAAGTCAGTGTGTAAAAGGTTATTAGCAAAACCTTATCTATGGTACATTTAAATCTTAATTTTGCTGTTCTCAGGAAATGCTAAAAGCCTCAATTAGTTTAAGACTTGTGAGCTGATTCTTAGTACATTCTTTGGAAAGAATGTTGCTGACAACCATTAGTTATAGTTACTAGGCAAGAGTAGGTTATTACTATTTGTCTATGATACTAGAATGATAAGATATAAAGTATACATTTTCTATTAAAACTGAACAAGATATTAAAATTGCTTAAAGTGCCACACTCAACCTTTCCAGAATTCTTAAACAAACAGGGAAGCACTAAAAGCAGTCAGGTAGCAAAATTCTATCACTAGGAGGGTAAGTAGTCTAGGCTGCACTCTGCAAAGTTATACTACTGAGTAATAGAGTTTTCCAGCTACTTTTTTATTTTTATTTTTTTATTTTATTTTAAAGTTTTGCAAGAAAGGGTCTCATTATATAGTCCTGGCAGGCCTCCAGCTCAGAGATGGATGTGGGGGGGGGGGGGGGGGGAGAGAGCCTTAGTCTTGAAATTGTAGTTATACTCATGTCTTATATCTTTCTCTTGAATATGGGGTCTTGTCTGGCTCAAATGATTTTGGTAGCCATATATTATATGGCTGTCCTGAGACCACAGTTTTGCAGGCATCCATGTACAAATAATTATAAATGAAATAGTCCTATTTTGTTTGCTATCAACACCAAAGTCCATAGAATAATGCAATCAGCAGATGTAGACAAGCTTATGGCTCATTGCCTCTGTATAGCACAGTAGTGTTTTAGTTTATTGATAATGTTAGTATTCATAAAGTGCAGTGAATAAATAAGATAGTAAGATGAAAAAAGCCTTGATGATTTATATGCAGTTTAAGGTAAAGATAAATTACATATTTCTTATAGTATTTTAAGTTTGTAAAAGCTGCTCTATTTAGTAATGTGAAAGCACATTAGCGTAGGCATAATAATGACTTCTATCATGTTAGCTCAATTTAGTATTAAGGAGCATATTATTGCAAAACTTAATTCTATATCACAAGGTTAGATAAAAATGTCATGTATGGTCTATAGACTAAACCCAGATATGGTCAGATGCTGAGCATTATTCCTGGCTTCAAAATAGGATGTATCTGTTTCGTCATCTGGTTGTGGTACGAAAGGCATCGTTTGATGTTGCAGATTTTCCCAGTCCACTTCACTGAAGAGAGGATGATGTTTCAGTTCTTAGGGGGAAATGTGAAAAAAACAATATTATGATACCATTACTTAAGCTCTGCTTTCAAAAATTAACAAGAGAATGTCTTATATATATCTCGCCCTACTTTATTATGCCAAATATCACTGGTATTTGTTTAATGTTTGTCTCCCTATCAGGCTACATACTTTACATTGTATCATTTTGTATATCACCTTATATTATAGGTGCCTGGTTTATACTTGTCTAGTTTATACTTGTCTAGGTTATACTTTCCTTCCTCCCTCCTGCATCTTTTTTTTTCCAGACAGTCTCACTGTAGCCCAGACTGGCCTGGAACTCACTGGGTAGCCCAAGCTAAAAGTTTTTACAGTTCTCTTCCTTAGCCTCTTAAGTTCTAGGTTTACAGGCATCGACCACCATAGCTTGGTTCTGGTCTTTGATGACATTTGTCACACATCCTCTCCATCTGCTTTGATTTACTTGGTTCCACTGATAGCATTATTAGAGTTTACTAGCTAGCACTACAGGTACATCTAGAATCTTTCCATCACAGCACTGCTCCTTATAGGATGTCAAACTCTTCCTTTTTTGTTTGTTTTGAGATAGGTGTTTATGTAGTCCTGGAACAGGTCTCCACATAGACCAGGATATCCTCAAACTCTGCCTCCCGAGTACTGGGATTAAAAGTATGTACCACCATACCTGGATTCATTTTTTAAAAAATTTATTCTACCTACTAAAATAAAAGCACACTCAATTGTTTGACTAAACTGATACTTAGCTGCTAGAAAAAAGCCCCCTTTCTTCTTTGCAGTGCTGATGATGGAACCCAAGGCCTTGCACACACTATGCGAGTGTCTAATGGGGGCTACACCTCCAGCCCCAACTCCTCACTTTTTAAAATATGGAGCCTTGGCTGGCTTTGAACTCAAA